TGGCACCATCATAGTGGTGTGCAGGAAGGATACACTGAACCTTTATAGCTCTATTTAATTTCTAATCATCACTTCATTTTGTAGAAATTGTTTACACACAGATGACTATGTTGTTGTTACCGTAGAATAAATAATCACTGTAAAAATGATGCACGCTGCATGGCCGATGTTGTGACTCTGGAAAGCTCATTGAGCCGGCGCGAAATAAAAATGTGATGTTATATGTATTTTTAATAATAGGCTACACTTTACAAATGATATATACACAACATATATGATTATTTCGTAGTTTCGTTTTATTTCCAAACCATTGGTAGTATATTCTGACACCTTTGATTGGGTGGGCCAGCCATCAATTTGGGTGGGCCAGTGCCAACCTGGCCCTTATGTGGCCTCGCCACTGGTACATCTACTTGTGCTAACAATAGGCTTTTTTTCTTTTGCAGACACTGGTGCTAACACAGACGTCTTTGAGCAGATCACACCCTCCCCCCTCTCCCCTCTCGCCCGACTGTACATTTATGCCCTACATGGGTGCCTCTGTGAGGTGGCATTCACAGCATCCTGGGATTGGTACTACACCCATGACCACAGACTAGCAGGCCACACAAGCCTTTGGGCACTCCTTATATACAGCTCTGCCATCTTCTACATGGAAGGTCTAAGTGTGACACTGCAGAAGAAACACTGCCCACTACCAGTCAGGCTGACTGTCTACACTCTCTTCATCTATCTATGGGAGTTTAGCTGGGGGTATCTGCTTAGGCTTTTCGGAGCATGTCCTTGGGACTACTCAGAATTTAGGTATAACTTCATAGGCCTGGTGACACTTGAATATGCTGTTCCTTGGGCATTGGCGGCACTTGTAGCTGAAAAACATGTTATTAGGAACACTCTGAAGATGCGGCTATAAACTGACTGTATAAAAAGATAACCCACTGTACACATAAACTGTTGAATAGAAACCTTTTACAAATCTTTGATTTTGTATTGGGATAAAGTGTTTAGCAGGCCTGTAAATCCTACATTGCTTATAGTGCAACAGCCAGGTTCCGGAAGCAAAAATCCAATTTTTTTCTTTCCATAGGGAATAAAAAAAACAACAACTTGTGAATCTTTTGAGACAGACCTGTAAGCTACAAGGTTGTTAATCACTGGTATATGGTTTTGTTGAAGTGGTCAGTTTACATTATTTCAACTTATTTTTTTAATAAAATATCTCTTTAGTGCCCACCCACTCACATAAAGCAGTGTGAAAGACACTATGTACACTCTGCTTAACCATTTATATATGCATATTTTGCAATCCAATATGTTATTTATATATACACCATCAACATCTTTTAATTAATAGGTTTATATTTATGTTATTTTTAATTTCATTATGTAATTTGCAATGCTTGGGATGCATGTAGATTTTACCCTCTTTTTTAAATACTTTTTTGCTTCAAATCAAAGTTTGTAGTGTTGTTATTTTGTGGCTGTTTAGTTTGGTTCATGGCTTAAAACTCTTTAATTAAGACTTTTTAAAATTTCCAATGGAAAATTAAATAGGAAAAAATATTTCAGAAACCAAGGCTGCTAAAAAAAGACACTGTTTTGAGAACTCTATTGCACTCCATAAAGATGCAAAGATAAAGCTCAATTTGAATATCAGGAAATTGCAAATAATAATAAACATAATAATAGTTTATATGTATAATAAAGGCCAATATAGGTAAGAATGGTTGGATCAATACAAAAAAAATAATATCTTTGGAATGAAACCAGCTCTGATATGTCAGCATTGTTACCTTAGGTAACAAATAAACAGCCTCACACAAACATTGAAATAAAACTGTCAGGTATACAGCTTCACTTTTTTAGTTTGGTTTGTTATGCTGTATTTTACTTATACAGCTCTGTTTTTCAGGCTTGAGGGCATTGAACTGCATCCACCATTTCTACAACAATGTGGCCAAGTGTGTTGGCTAGCTGTTTAGCTATCTTAAACCTCACACTACCTAACACTACCTTTGCTTTTATGCTTTATGAAACACTGTGCTGAATAGCAGCACATTCTTGTCAGGTTGGCCTACCAACATTTTATGGTACCGTGCCATTTAAGATTTCTGTTACTGCAGTTGTAGCGTCTGGACTGAATCACGATGACCGACCCAGCTCTAAGCTTCAGAAAGCTTTTAACGTTTTGAACTTCTTCATGTATGTCACAGGCCTAGCGCCGATGAGTCTGGATCGAATTGCCCCCATTGTCACTTTAGTTGTTTTGCAGATGCTTAACAGAGACACCTCGAAGCCACTTCGTGAGGTTCAAAAATATCTTAACTCAACTTCCCTCCCACGGCAAGCACAAAAGGCATGGTCATTGGAGAAACGCACCCAATATACATAGACAGACATTTTTTCCATTTAACTCATAATTAAGTCATCCCAGAATGTATACCGTAAAACTATTTTCCCAAATCGCCGAACTGCACCGGCTTCTATTTGAGACAGGGGTCTATATGAGACAGGCCTTTAATTTAGAGTTGAGATGTTGTTCATTGAGTGTAGGCCTAGAAATAACGATCCAAATAGCATAGGCTGATAGACGGAAAGCATGACAGTCGGAGGTTACCACATTATATTACGTTTTATTTATAATTCGAATGTGTTTAACAAATCAGTTAATGTAAGAATTAGCCTACTATATTACCGTATGTCTAAAGACTGTGGTCGCACACCAGACGAGAAGCGCAGTGACGGCAACGGCTCAGGACCTTGTTCAAAATCCTGGCCACAGAGCGCCATTTACATAGTTTTATAATAAATTTACATTTATTTGTCTCAAAGCGTCATTATGTATATACTGACTTCACCCTGTGCTGCAATATACATTTAGTTTTACATTCATTTACAGAAATCAGCTGGTTGAATGAAAATTGCTGATGTTATCGGATTTTCAGGTGATATTCTCAATTCATTCAGTTAACGGATGCTCTGAGGTAAAGTGAATTCAGACTGCAGACTAAGCAACGATTGTAATTAATTGTACAGTAGGCTACAATCATAACATAGTACAGACATGATCTTAATTCCATAATGTCCTTAAACATAACAATATTGCTGGCCATAAACTGACAAAGTGCCCATCCGGTGTGCGCTACCTCGAGTTGTCATAGACGTGATGCGGCGCGGCGCTGCGCTTCTCGTCCGGTGTGCGACCCCCTTTAGATTATTGGCAGCATAAAAAAACGAAACAGTGTGACAGCCATGGGCTGAACAATACAAGTTACCGGTAATATCCATCGAGCCTATGAACTTGTTGCCCGAGACACTTCAACAAAAAAGAATGAAGGCTACCCTGTAAAACAACTGCAATCATATGATACAAAATGACCCTATTCATCACTATCATCATCACTACAAGCGATCCTCAACTACAAGTTCATTGGCGAATTCCTCCTCCTCTTCTCCCTCTCCGGCCTCCGCTAACTCGTCCTGCCTTTCTTGCGCTAACAGCTCCCGCCCAGATGTGCAGGGCTCTCTTTCGTGCGCAATCTGCACCATAGAACTGGCTTAAACAGACAATCTGATGGGTTTTAGAAGATTAAATACAACCCGAAACTAAAAAACAGACCAGGTCTCTATTTGAGACCCGCCTTTATTTATCCAAACCTGTGGCCACACCAGGCGTGTAAAAGAGACAGGCATCTATTTGGGACTCGGATATTATTTGAAGTTTTACGGTAAGTAAATGTATATAATGGATATATCCCTGTGTGTATGTATGTCCCCCACGTTATATTAACTCGAAGTGCTTATATTCAAGAGTAAGAATGTATCTCTACTTTAATATCTTCCAGCCATATCTTCCGTGGTATCGAAATATTCCTCTCGTTAAGCTCTATTGGTGTATAGTTTGTTACGATAAAATGTGTTATACTATTTTTACCATCTAATCCTTTGGAGTAAAAATTACCAATTCTGACACCATCATAAAACATGCAAATTAGGAGAAAGGAGAAAACTCTCTTCCGCTAAAAGTTCCTAACTACTATTGGTTATTTCACCCTGCATATAGGTGTGGACTGATATATCCTTAAAGGACGATAACAATAGCTCATCTTCCCTAATTTCTTTCTTACGTAATTTCTTTCTTCCCTGCTCATTTCTTCCCTGCCGGCTCATTCTTCCCTGCTGGCTCATTTTCTTTTCCTTCGGATGAGACAACATCTTCCTGATTTTCTGGCAAAACTGACTCTTGAGTTTACCTCGTTCAAATCTTCCCGCAAACGGGAAGAACCCAAAGAACGCTTCGAGTTCACGAACAACGCACCGATGATCTACACACACAAGGCCGGCTCTAACCCTTTGGTTGCCCTAGGCGAGATTGAGTTTTGCGCCAGATCAGAGTCATTTTGATCAACGCGCCAGCAGCTGAGCACTCGCCTAACGTAACGTAACGCAACCCCCCCCCCCCCCCCCCCCCCATTAGGAAATGATCGACAATAATCATCAATTCAATCTTATAATCAGGTTGACAAGTAATTAAACGTGTGGCTGAGGGGGCACCCTATGATGATCATGTTTAATAAACATGTTTTATTTCGCTTGTCGTTCTAATTCTATGATCATTGGGAAGTAGGCCTAAGGGCGACACTAGAGGGCGCCCGCGCCCCCAACATTTGTTACCCTAGGCAATCGCCTAGTTCGCCAATAGCAATCGCCGGCCCTGTACACACACGCGCATTATTGCTCAGCACCAAAGATCCATGCAAGTTTTTCTATCGATATTTAGATGCTTTTAAGATTGTTTGCCCCTGCCTTAAGGTGATCTGATTCTTTGCTTGCTCTTAAGGGTCAACTGTTTGTGACCCTTAAGAGGCAGCAGAAAGAATAATACGGATTATGATGGAGACTTAATTACAAAAATTATATTCAAGAAACTTTTTGAGAGTTTATTATCGACTTGCACCTTTGCACGTATAGAGTGTTTAAATTGATTAGAAGATTTGAGAGATGTTTCTTAAGATTTTTATTATTATTTAAGGCTTAATACAAGGAATGTATGTTTATTTGTCTAATGTATGAATATGATGATTATTGTGATTATGATACCGTGGTGGATACAGAAGTGTTTACAATAAAAGCTGTACATTGGAAAGAATATGAAGTTTTAAAGTTCATACATTTTGCCCTAAACAAGTGATCTAATTACTCGTTTCTCGGAATGGTCTCTTCCTGTCTGGGTCTTGGGCAACATACAAAGCAACACAATCCTGTGACCGTTTCCACTGATACCTAAAGAAGCCCACACACAAACACAGTGGTGTTAACCAAACAGTTGTTATTATTCACACTGACATAAATGCTTGTTAATTTGGTTTCCTTTCACTGAAATTTCCCATCCCTTGTAAACAATTCTTTCACTTAAAGGGGTCATGAAATGGAGAATCTTGATATTTACACATAAGAGGTTACGCTAGAATAAAAATGTCTCAGGTTACGAGACCCTAGTTCCCTGAGAAGGGAACGATACGCTGCGTTGAGGACGCTTTGGGCACGCCTCCGCGTGATTGCGTCTGAAGCATGAATGTCAACTAGTCCAATGGCGAGAGGGAACGTCACGGGCAGGTGATCTCTAGAATAAATCTCAAGAATAAAAGCACATCCGGAATGACCGGCGTTAGCTTCCATTAGCCGAAGGAAGTCGATCACAGGGATGAAGGAAGTATGGCAGGGCGACATAGCGTCTCTTTCCCTTCTCAGGGAACTAGGGTTACAGTCGTAACCTGAGACGTTCCCTTTCGAGGGAACTCACGCTGCATCGATGACGCTTTGGGAATGATAATAGCCAAATGTCGTACTTACAAGTGCCTCTCTGTGTAAAACTGTGGCACAACTAAGACATAAGGACCTGAGTACATGGGGCAGTGTCCAGGTCCAGGCTATAAAACCTCACAAATGTGATCGGGGAAGACCAACACGCCGCATCACAAACCTCTTGAAGGGATACACACGAAATTAAGGCCTTGGAGGCCGCCATACTCCTGGTTGAATGAGCTCTGACAGCCAAAGGTGAAGGCTGACCAGAGACCTCGTAAGTAAGAGAGATAGCCTCGACTATCCACTTCCTAACTGTCTGCTTAAAAGCAGGAATACTTTTCTTAGGTGATCCAAAACAGACAAACAGCTAATCCGATTTCCTCCACAGGGAAGCTCTGTGGACAGTGCTCTTCCTGGACAGAGGAGGTTCAGCTTTTCCTGGTCCTAAACTCTGAAAGGAGGAGGCCAGAAGGCTTGCAAAATGATAGGCCGCGGTACATTGGTCAGCACCTTAGGGACATAGCCCGGTTTAGGGTAAAGAAATGCCTTGACCATCCCGATGCGAACTCAAGGCAGGTGGCGGATACCGATAAGGCCTGAAGATCTCCTACTCATTTAAGAGAAGAAATAGCATGAAGGAAGACTATTTTTTATGTCAGAAACGTTTCTGAAACAGTTAAGCCTTATACGTTTCTGAAACAGATAAGCCTTCTAAAGCAACAGCCAGGTCCCAAGCAGGAACCCTGGTTCGAATTGCAGGCCTCAGCCTCAAAGTACCATGAAGGAAACAAGTTATTAGAGAAAGATGCCCTCCCCAAAGATGCCTTATCCTCAGGGGCATGGTAAGCTGCTATGGCAGCCACATACATCTTTAAGGTAGAAGGGGATAGCCCTGCCGAAAAGCGATCTTGTAGAAACTCAAGCACTGCACTCAGCCCCTGTCTCGACAGGATGTCTGGTCCTATGTTTTGGTACCCCGGGATGTATACTGCTCTCAGGGAGAGAATCTTCCCTAGGGACCACAGGAGGATCCGGTGTGCCAGTTTGCATAGTGGACGTGAACGCAGACCCCTGGTGATTTATATAAGAGACCACCGACGTGTTGTCTGAACGGACCTCCACATAATGGTCTCTTAGGTCTGGGAGGAAGTGCTCCAATGCCACGAAGACAGCCATCATCTCCTGGCAGTTTATGTGCCTCGAAAGATGATGACTCCTCCATAAACCCTGAGCTATGCGGCCTTCCATTACCACTCCCAAGCTTGTGAGAGAGGCGTCTGTCGTGAGAGTGACTCGATGACAATGAACTCCTAACACAGGACCCTGGGACAGGAACCAAGATTTCCTCCATATAACCAAGGCGTGGAGACATGCTGCGTGATCTTGATCATACGAAGTGGGTTCCCCCTCTGGGAAAACCCTTTGGTTCTAAACCACTACTGCACGGGTGTCATGTACAGCAGGCCAAGAGGAATCATGTTTGACGCAGCTGCCATCAGACCCAACAGTCTCTGAAACTGTTTCACAGTGAGTGACAGGCCTAGCTTTATCTTTTGAACGGCCGTGAGGATAGCAGTCTCATGAGTGAGTGGTAGGATAGCCAGCATCATCACTGAATCCCACACCACACCAAGGAAAGTGGTCTTCTGTAATGGAGAAAGCACACTCTTCTTGGCATTCAGTCTCAACCCCAGCTTTTGCATAGGAGCGAGAACAACATCTCGATGCCGAACCGCCATCTGCTCCGACTCTGTTAGAAATGTCAAGCTTAAATGTCAAAATGTTTTACTTGAGCATCTTGACTGATTCAGCTGACAATGATCTAATATAGGACGCAACCCTCACAGGTGGGAGCGGAGTGTGCGAAGCGACAGCCTCTCACAATGCTCACAGTCAGCACCCTCGAAGGCTGACAGAGCATGATCCGCTCCCAAACACATAACATACAAGTCGTGTGTATCCCCACTCGTTAGGAAGCGCGGGCAGGGAGAAGCACACTGCTTGAATGTTTGATTCGTCATAATTGTGATATAGTGACTGCACAATTTCCAAACTGTCAAACTGTATGTCTTATTTGTTGTTGTCTGAGCGCTTGCTGAGGCACAGAAGCTAACACCGGTCATTCTGGATGTGCTTTTATCCTTTCCTGGTCATGACGTGACCCGCCTGTGACGTTCCCTCTCGCCATTGGACCAGTTGATGCAATTACGCGGAGGTATTCCCAAATCCCATTTGTGTCCCATCGACACAGTTCGAGTTCCCTCGAAAGGGAACTTACTGCAAGTTTCAGAACTCAAAACTAACTCTCCAGTTATGGAATCCATTTTCTACCCTTCTGAATGCCAGGATTTGAAATCGGGAGAATCATGATGAGAATCACTATTTTCCTCAATGCCCCTAAAAATGGGTCATTGTCGTATGTAACCAAGGAGGTATTCTGAGCAACTCATGTTAGTCCAATCACAAGATTGATACTGCTGTTGGATAAAGATGTTGAGTAATATGGAATTCCAAATTTGACATAATAATAACTATATAAATAAATAAATGTCCAATGAAATGTAAAAAAAAAGAAGAAGAAAAAAACACTTTTATTTCCTTATTCATGTATACTTGTATTTTTCTCCACTTATTTTTTTCCATTGATTTATTACCACATTTATTTATGTATATTTGTATTTATGTCTACATTTATTTATTTCTACATATGTGTCCGTATGGTAATGATGGGGCGTGTTTTACCTCACATATAGCAATCGAGCTCAGAGTGGCAGTGCTGAAGCTTTGAGGCCACAGTGACACCTTGTGGTGTAACCAAACGAAACACAAGCCTTTGCAAGTCACACAGGGAATGAATGACTTATGGGCAATATGGCCAAAATCGTATATCACGGTTTAAGTCATTTAATATCACCCTAACTGTATGTATATTGGGTGACCATACATACTCTTTATCCTGAACATGGCCGTAAAACATCGTCTGGTCGGGATTTCTAAAATGTTTCGGCACACATGAACAGAAACCACATCTTCAACAGATTTGATAACAGATACTTCGACACGGAAGCACATACTAGTGAAAGTATCCACTATTAATCGCATTTAATGTAAATGGGCTGATAGGAGCTTGCGTTTATTGTAAATGAGACCCGCACACCAGCTCAGAACGTAGAGAGAAACCGTCTCGGGTTACGACTGTAACCCTTGTTCCCCGAGAAGGGAACGAGACACTGCGTCATCGTTGTGACACTTTGGGGAACGCCCCCAGCGTAGCGCATCTGAAGCATGAATGAAATCTGTCCAATCCTGATTGGTGCTGCGTCATGACGTAGTAGATGACGGCATAACCGGAAGATACAAAGGTACGCTGGCAAATACAAACACTAGCTCTTTGCGATGAAGCTAGCGCTCTGCCTGTGATAGGTGTGGCGACGAGACGCAGTGTCTCGTTCCCTTCTCGGGGAACAAGGGTTACAGTCGTAACCCGAGACGTTCCCCTTCGAGGGAACTCAAACTGCGTCATCGTTGTGACACTTTGGGGAACGAAATACCCACTATGCCACACCGTAATCACGCCCGCCCCTAGTGTGAAGCTGGAAGACCAGGCACACTTAGGATGCGAGCACTCTGGCGCCAGGCGTCACGGGGAGTTGCAGACTGTAAAAACGTATGAAGGTGTGCGGGGTGGCCCACCCGGCCGCCTCGCAGATCTCCTGAAGCGAGACGCCAGAAAGGAGGGCCACCGAGGAGGCCATGCTCCTGGTGGAATGTGCCCTCACGGCCATAGGTGAAGGCAAATTGCGCACCTGATAAGCCGTGGCTATAGCCTGGACAATCCAATTACTGATTGTCTGTTTAGATGCAGGCAGCCCTTTCTTGGGAGAACCAAAGCACACCAACAACTGGTCTGACTTCCTCCACTGAGAAGACTTCTCCAAGTAAACCCTTAGGGCTCTGACTGGGCAGAGCAGGTGAAGTCTCCCCTCTTCCGCCGTCCCATGAGGTGGAGGATGGAAGGCCTGAAGAACCACTGACCGTGCCGCACTAGACGGCACCTTGGGCACATAGCCCGGTCTAGGATGTAAGATGGCCCTAACTCCGCCAGGGGCAAACTCCAGACAAGTTGGCGATATAGCCAACCTAAGGCCTGGAGATCCCCCACTCTCCTCAGAGAAGTGATGGCAAGGAGAAAGGCCACCTTGAAGGTCAGGTTCTTTGCCTCAGCCGACTCCAGTGGTTCAAAGGGGGCCTCAGCCAACCCTTCAAGAACCACCGCCAGGTCCCAAGTTGGGACTCTGGAGCGAGCCGCAGGCCTAATCCTCCGAGCCCCACGGAGGAAACGTACAACCATATGGTGCCTTCCCAAAGGCCCAGCACCTAAAGGTGAGTGGAAAGCCGCAATGGCAGCCACATACACCTTAAGTGTGGATGGGGAAAGACCGGCGGAGAAACGATCTTGGAGGAACTCCAGCACT